TTTGCAGGTGAATCCCAGGCCATGAAGCAAATAATGAATGAGAGGAACAACAATACCTTTTACTTACTCATTTACCTTTTACTCACTTGTTTTGCTTAAACAACGTCACGTTTCAGTTTTATGTTAGTACCAAAGATCTCTGAAAACACTCTAAACTCAAAAGTCAGTATATGTCCCCTTAGGCTCTAACGAATGTCCTTTGGTAAAACTGTGTACAACACTGATTTCACAGTTGCTGATATTAAGCAGCACCAGTCTTATTGCGTCTTTAGATATTACATTTCTGCTTTTGTTACAGCTATTCTGTATGATATAGACACTTTAGTTTGTAAGTTACTTCCATGAGCAGAAGGCCTAATCAGACTTTGATGGTTGTGACATGTTACTCAGATGATTAACTGACCCTCAGTCATGGTGTTTTCTTTCTTCTTAACATGACTAGGTGAATATTCTTTTAGCAGTTTTACATTTACACTTGCCAAATCAGCTAAATGCTTATGTTGCTGTGAGCATTTTCATGACAAAACTGCATCTGTGTCTGTGTCACTTAATTAAGCATGAATTGGGTTAGACTAGTTTAATACAGGATCTCTAGCAAGTAACTGTAAAGATGTATTCTGTGGGTTCATGCTGCACTACAGCTCTTGTTCCACAACTGTCAAGACAGCTAACTTTTTTGAATCCTTTATGCAGGAGCTTTGCAAATTGAGAACAGCGAGGAGTCCGACCAGGGGAAATATGAATGTGTTGCCATGAACAGTGCCGGAACCCGTTACTCGGCTCCTGCCAATCTCTACGTGAGAGGTAAAGTCAAACATCTCTCTCAGTTCTTGAATTGATCTGTTATTTCTGTTGTCTCACGCACTTTGCAAACCACAAACAACCACCCAGCTTCTTGTCTGTTTTGTTCTAAATGTTGTTCACTCACCAGCTGCCATGCATATCTCTTTTTAAAGACCCTGTAACCCCAGTGGTATGTTTACAGAGGTGATTTCAGTTATTTTGGTTGATTAGAGCTCTTCTCAGGAGTGTGTGGGAGTGTGCAGAATGTGTTTGATTGACATTTTCCTCATTCTCTTGTTAGCTCTTTTTGCACCCGGCAGGATGGGACAAATTACACCGTTATAATTCTTGGATCGTGGTGTAGCTCTGCCCACCTTCAGCCTGAGTAGAGTTCTAATCAGCCAGGATAAGTGAAAACATCTTTGGAAAACATTTAAATTGTTGTGTAATTTCCACATTTGATGACCACATTTATACCACTGTTTGTCTCTGTCTCTCCTACAATCCATTCTCTCACCGATATCCTTGCCACACCATTTCTCCCATACTAACAAGCTGAACTAACCTCAACTTCCTATTTGGTTGCAAGTTCGACCAGGTGCGGCCTCTATGAAAACAGCTGCAGTGAAGGCGTTTTCTCTGCTGCCACTGAAAGCCATGCCAGGCCTTCTTTCTTTTTTATTTTGACTGTATCGAAAGGCCCCATTATCCTCCCCCCGCACTACCCAGAGATCTTAAAGGCATGGAGAAGCCTGAAGTTTCAGGGTTTGTTTTTGTTGTGATATCTTTGTGAGCAGACTAATGCAGGGTAAGGGCAGCATTGTACCCATCCTGGAAAAAGCTGGTATACAGGAGAGAGCAGTCAGGTCAGCCCTTGCGAATAACACCACCATGTCTGATGTACATGAAACAGAATAGCTCATACAGTTGTTACCATGGGGAGAGGGGGGAGGGGGAGTGAAAGGGCAAGAAAGAGGCATGCTTGACTATCACTTCATAATTTTCTCAAAAGCACATGTAATAGTGTATCATACAAGCTATTTTATGGATGAGTGATTTCAGCCCCTTTTTTCCATCCATCAAGATAAAATAAGTAAATTACTGCCCAGTTTTTTTTCTTTACCCCAGACAGAATATTAAAAAAAACTGCTGCTTAAGAAATGTAAAATTGAATTTGAGTAGTACTTTTTTAAACAAACTTTCCTCTGACATAGATGTGTACTATTGATATTTAGTGTTGGGTTTTTCCTCATAGGAAATGATCCAAAAAACATTTTTTGCAGCAGAGCCTCCACATGGATCAGAGGTAAAATCATCTTCAAGGGCCATAGCAGCATCAAATTTACAGATTAAACACCATGGGCTCCAGAAGGTTTAGATCTTAAATCTTGACAGGGAGAGGAAGTCAGCCAAGCAGCAAAGTGGAGGAAGGGATGTAAGTTCCCTCTATTAATCAGGGCATGTCTGTCACAGGTGCAGACACAGCCTTTTTCCCCTTAGAAGTAATTACAGTAGTTGTGTGGCGTGGCGCCAGCAGGGCCCCCAGGCCTGGCTAGTCTGTAACACCACCCAGGTAGCTGTCAACCCATTGGCCTCCAACACCAACTTTTCCGCCTGCCTCGCCACACCAGCAGAGAGATAGAAATCAAACCAGCCGTAACCTTTTAAAAGTGTACTTGTCTGGAATGGAGAACAAAGACTTGAGCCATGTTTTCACTCTATCTTTGTTATTGCTGCAAGAATGAAGAGACTAGACCTGGGGGCGTGCTATCACTGGGCTGCTTGATTGGGTTTAAAATATGAGGGACTCAAGACAAGTGGCCTTTGACATGCCCCTTTATTTCTGAGATACCTGAGTGGAGACTTAGGGCCATGCAATATCTGCTCTCAAACCTGTAAACAACAAGCTTTGGAAACAAACAGGCCATTTGACAACTGTTACATTTTTGTGTTAGGACAGGCTATAAGAAAGCTGGTTGATTTCAAACTTCTAGTATATTATGATGTGTGGGCTATAAACAAATAAATACAGTAATGTTACAAACCTTAATGCCTTTTAATGTGCATGATAGTGCAGTTTAATGCTGAGATTAACAGTGTTTCAATATTACATTCTCACTTTTGAGTGGCCTATAAGAGTCTATGGCCTGATTAAATGTAGTCCCTTCCAAACACTTCATCCCCCCGGGTACAACAGGGACAGAAACAGAAATGTCAATAAAGTTACCACTACTTGAAAGTGACACATGAAAAGACTACTACGGGAAAAAGAATTGTGTTATTATTCTCTGTCATCACTCTTTCAACACCCACCCACGCACACACATTTCAGACTTGCATTAAATGTGCTTGTTATAGGTTGGTGTTTGTTGTCTGCGACTGTTTTTTCCTTCCACTTACTGTCACTACTTGATCCAATTCCTGTCTACAGGTACACAAACACGCTGCCAGCACCACCCTTGTCTTGACATTTCAGAGCCACCACAGAGTGATGTCCTCATATTTCTGTGTGGGTGGGGAGAGTGACACTGAAAGGGGGGAGGGGTCCCCTCATGAAATGGTTTTCCCCTGCTGTCTGTTTATCATATGTCCATCCACTTCTCATCCATGAAGAGTGTGTGCATCCTTGTAGGTGTGCAGGTGCATGCACGCCTTGTTTGCTGTGGGTCGCTGCCAGTGACCCTCCTCTTAAGGATAACTCCATCAACGTGGGCAGAATTACAAGCGTCTTGTGATTGTGCATGAGCGCTCATTTGTCAAGTGCTTATCCTGCAACAGAGGGGTGTCAGCCTCTGTCTGCTGGCACTCCTTCATATATCCATGTGACATGTCAATATGTCACAGAGGATAAAGTGCTGCAGATGGGCTTTTCTTAAACCAAAATATCTTCATGCTGTCCTTTGTGTGTGTCAGGGAGGGAAACTTAGAAAATATTACATTTAGGTCAGCTTTGTGAAAAAACATCTAGCCTCCATGAATGAGACATATGTCCAATACTCGTAACTTAGTCATTTTATTTAATTTGTTCTCTCATAAATCCATATATCTATTCATATAATCAAATTGATCATCTGACGTATACATTGCAACAAAATAAATATTCAAATGAAAAAGCTGAATAGTAAAAAAAAGTTTCCCTCCCTAATACTGGACTGTATATATGCGTTACTCTGCTGTGCCGTGTCACCATTCTCCGCTGTCTCTACGGAAACACTGTTTTGTTTCACTGTATTGTCTTCCTCTCCACTTTGTATCTTTTCATACCATCGCTCACCTCCATCAAATCACTTCATCTGCAAACAGATCAGCGTGAAGGTTGGTCATTTTCACTTTTAATCCATTCCCTATAATTTGATGCAGATTTTAGGTGAGATCAACCATCCCTACCAGCCCTTCTGATGAAGACATTGATATTCCTTCCTTGAAAAACAAAAACATTCATAACAGCTCTCCCTAATCCCCTGTAGTGTAAATGTGTCCATTGTTTGCATGAATTCCTTGCATGCCTTAGAGTTCCACTCCCCCAAAACCTTTTTCGATCAGGCTTGCCAAAATACACAAGGAGTCCCCGTACAGTTTGCTTAAGACATTATTAGATTTTGGTTGTGTTCTGCTCCTCTGGATTCTTCACAACCACACCCATATTTTCACTGTCAACTACATTCACCAAAAACTATAGCTCCTTTCACCCTGAGACTTTCCGTCTGCCTCTGTAGGCCCATCAGAGGTATGTGATGGATTACTCCGGTATTCAGGTGGCAACCGGATTTGTCAGGCATTTAGGCAGCAACACCCCTGCTCTCTCCCACCGAGGGACATGGGTATCAGAACTGACACAGCCGTTCTCAGGGGATTATGTCTGTTTTACCGCCATGGGTACCCAGAGGCTGAAGGATGTGATAGGCACATGTTAGTCTAATGGGAAGACGGGCATTTCTCCATGTGATAATGCAGCAGAAAGTCCTGCAAGAAAAACAAAATGTATTGTTGAAAGACTTTTTTAAAGAAATGCAGACATAATTAAAACTACTTTCATTGGAGCTGCTGCATGTACAGTATAACACATAACAAATAAAATAACAAATTCAATTTTATACAAGTAACTGATTTCATGTCTGTTTGTCCTTGATCTGGATTATTTACAGACTGAGCCTCCGTGTTAACATTAATGAATGATGACACTGACGTTTTCCATGAGAGGTGTAATCTTTTGGAATCGCCCCTTCACTCGTACCATCCTGCAAAACACTGCCATGCAAAGAGCTGACCTATAGAATATTTAAGAACGAGCTGGCGGAGTGCTGACAGGGGGATGATCAGCCATCATAGTAGCCCAGCTTTGCTGCCAGGAAGCCTGGCAGCCCGCTGACTTTGTGCCAGTTTGCTCAGATATTGATTGACTGAACAGGTTCTGCTATCCTTGGGCACTTTGTCAAGGTAGTTAAATTTATAGGTATCCAGCAGGCAGGCAGGCATTGTGGAGACATGACTTATTTTGTGGTTTTGATAGAGTCCCGGAGCCCGTCTCTCCAAGCTGCTCTCAACAGGAGAGAGGCTTCAGGGGAATCGATAACAATTACCTGCCCTCTAGTCATTTTGTTCCACAGCACCTCTCCAAACTTAACCGCACGCCATGAATTATTCACAACATTAAGTGTTCAATATACACAGTCCCCACTGACTGACTGTTCTTAGCACTGTTTAGTCTGTAGAATCATGAAGGAATAACAGATACTTTGAGCTTAATGGTCTTACATTAGGGTTGCTCCTCACAGGTTTTTATTTTTCATAAGCATATGTTGTGAAAAATAGCTGCACTTGGAGAATGTTACAGTTGTGTGAGAAGACATGGGTGAACATTTCATAAGTGCAATACCAAAACGTTTTTCTTAAAATACTCAAAGGAAAGTTCCTTCTTTATCTTCTTCTCCCAGCTTATTCAGGCTTGTGATCCCATTCCGCATCTTTTCTCAGCTTCTCTATTTGCTTTGCTTGAGAATTCCATCCCAATCCTGTTCCCAGGCTGGTAACACTCCTCGTTCTGTCCAGTCTTTGCATGTAAAAATCAGAACCTCTTCAAAAGCAGATGTCATAGCTGCTCCATTAATGTGTGAATGCTAATGTGCGTTATTTTTTTGCATGAAGCCTCCAGTAACTTACTAAACCTTTACCTTAGTGTTCATTGAGTCGTTTTAATGTTCCTGATATTAAATAGATTTTTATTTTTTATTTTTTTGCCACAAACCCTCAGAAAGGTTTAGTCCTTTTAAAATGAACAATAAAGTTTTAATTTCCTGGGAAATTCTTTTAGAAAGACAAACAAGCATTTGCTTGATTACACATTATGTTTTTACTTCTGTTCTCAGCCTTATATTTTTTACTTGCCCACTGCTGCCTTACATAAGGACGAGTACATACGCATTGAGAGCCACTGTACCACAGTCAAATTCCTCGTGTGTCCAACACACCTGGCCAATAAAGCTGATTCTGGTTCTGAAGCAAACTTAAAGACCAAAATTTGAATATGCATGAACCGCCACTTATTTTGGGAAAATTTAGATGAGTGTGAACCAGGTCCCACTTATTATGGTGTGGTGCACAGAACCAGCCTTTTCCTGACTGGAGTCTCAAAAGGTGCTTTTGTGTTTTCCATTTCACCATATAATGAGGGGAATAACAAGCATGCCTGTAACAACGTTCTGGTTCAAATTAGAACTGGGAGGGAGGGGTGAAGGGTCGGAGAAAAGGATGGAGACTCGCATTTGAAAATCCATTTTCATGGAGACCAGTGCAAAAGAGCAATTACAGTCAAGGGTTGCAAGGGTTGTTTTTTTTTTCTCACAGAGACACAGAGATGTAATGCATTATCTGAAACAAGCAGTATAAATTCTGCAGAGATAGTTTCATGCCGTAGTGTTTTGAATACATACAAACGACAGTAGTGGGATTGCTCAGCTTCACTTTCTCCATAATCAAGGTTACAGAAGTACGAGCTTCTCTTTCTTACAGTCACCACATACTGTGATAATGTTTAGCATGTCATTAACAGGTCTGACACTAATGGATGTTCACATAGCCTTTTCAAGTAAGGATTTCTTTACCACGAGAAATGGTGTGGTTGCCGAAAGTTATCAAAAAAATATATGAAGTTTGTAAGTATGGCAGGCATTTCTTTGGTCTTATTTAGATAGAAACAAATCATATGTAAATGTTGGCTGCCTGTTTATTCCGGGGCAGCTTTTCAGTATTGCACGGAGCTTCAGCATCAGTGTTTGCCTTGTCCCTGGCGACGTCAGCGGGCCCTTCTTGTCTCCATGGGAACCCCTTTTTAATGTCAGCCTATCTGCATATCAGAACTGCACAAAGAAAGAGAAAGAATGAGAAAGACAGGCTGAGCTGAAGGAGCACAAGAGATGGAGCAGCAGAAGAAATCAAACAAAGCCATCTCCACAGGGTCCCTAAATGATGCAACTCTCGCCACTATTTGACACTCTGACAAAAGAGGGCCAGACATAGTCTCCAGCAAAACTGGGCTATTTTTTGATTATATTCCCTTTTGTAGGCAAGAGGATAAAACACCCCCTTAAAGTTTTCTTGTGAATTTCTAGAGTCGTTTTGTGATAGTCCTATTATTCTCATTGTGCTCGCCTGCACATTCAGACAAAAGCGATCAGCCTGCAATCCTTTTTGCTTTTCTGAGTTAGCTTTTAGGCTTGTGGTTGTTGAATGGGGCAAAACCATTTATGAAATACAAAACATCATATTCACCTTACACATCCTACCTATTCATTCCTTTCTCCTGCTCTTCATCCCCTTAGTGCGAAGAGTGCCACCCAGATTCTCCATTCCGCCCACCAACCAAGAGGTGATGCCAGGTGGCAGCATCAACTTGACATGCGTAGCAGTGGGCTCTCCGATGCCCTATGTAAAGTGGACTATGGGCCAGGAGGAGCTGACCAAGGAGGAAGAAATGCCACTGGGACGCAATGTGTTGGAGGTCATCAACATCCGTGAGTCAGCCAACTACACCTGCGTGGCTATGTCCTCTCTGGGCATGATTGAAGCTACAGCTCAGGTTACTGTCAAAGGTGAGAACTGTTGTTCAGTCTGTTTATCAGTAAACATTGATGTCAGGGCTTGTATGTGTCTGTCTGCATGCTTGTTGTTTTTCCTCTGTGTATTTGTGTGAATTTGGTTCTGCCAAGATATGTGACTGTGTGACTGTGTTGTCTACCCATTGCAGCCTCTTTTATCAGTTGCTGAACCTATTGATCCCACTTTCCACTCAAGTGATCGATACACAGAATGTCATAGTCTTTTAGAGGGACCACAGCAATATAGACCTCCTTCTTCAAAGAAGCCATAATGAGGACTGCTTTGTTTGTATTTGTCATTTATTCTCAACAGGAGCCACTTTTGCAATTTTCTCATATTGTCAGTAATGGCTGGGCCAGTTTTAAAACATAAAACTGGGATTTAAGTCTAGCTTTTCTGTTCCTTTGGAGATAATGACTGCTGATGGTACTATAAGGATTAACGTATGAAACTGCTATGAGTGACAGAATGGAGAATTGCATGACCTGTCATCTTTGCTCCAAAACAGCAGAGTTTAGCTGTATTCTGTTAATATTTTGAGAATTATGGTATCAAATGTGTCAAAGGTCCACTTACCCACAATGCCTAAAAGCCCATTCCTGATGTCAACGCTAATAATCTCCTTCTCACTCCTCAGCCTTGCCAAAACCCCCAACCTCCCTCATTGTGACTGAGACCACCGCCACAAGCGTGACACTCACCTGGGACTCTGGCAACCCAGAACCCGTTTCTTACTACATGATCCAATACAGAGCCAAGTCCTCAGACAATGGCTTCCAGGAAGTGGAAGGTGTTGCCACCACCCGTTACAGCATCGGCGGACTTAGCCCCTACTCTGAGTATGAGTTTCGTGTCATGGCTGTCAACAACATTGGCCGTGGGCCACCCAGTGACCCTGTGGAGACACGCACCGGTGAGCAGGCCCCCTCCTCACCACCTCTACACGTCCAAGCCCGCATGCTGAGTGCCAGCACAATGCTGGTCCAGTGGGAACCTCCTGAGGAGCCCAACGGGCAGATCAGGGGCTACCGGGTCTACTATAGCTCAGATCTGACGGCTCCACTCAGCGCCTGGCAGAAACACAACACAGATGACAGCAGTCTGACTACCATCTCAGGCCTGACTCCTGATATCACCTACAGCCTCAGGGTGCTGGGCTTCACCTCTGTAGGCGATGGGCCACCTTCTGACATCCTGCAAGTCAAAACCCAGCAGGGAGGTGAGCAGCCAGCTGCTGTGTATGTTAATGTGCAGATGTAAACATTTTACTGTCTGTACTGTCCTCTCAGTGAGTTGTCCTTCAGAGCTAGACAATTAGCTAACAGTTTGAAGTCCACCAGTAAACACAAGGTGCACCTTTCCTTGGATATTTTAATGAAGATTCAGAATTTCTGTAAAACTGCGACAAGAACACAAAAGACAAATAGAAATCAGATTGTAAATGGTACAAGTTATACTCCACCATGCCTTGTTAACTCTGAGCATTTCCTGCTCTAAGACTACTAATGCAAAGTTTTTGAGAAGTGGTTATTGCTGCGGAGACAGTGGAGAACATTGTGTTTTAGTAATGTGCTCTTCTTGTTTCTTTTATTCTAACCTCTGTTCCATCGCCCCTCTTCACCCAGTCCCCGCCCAGCCATCCAGCTTTGAGGCCGAAGCTGAGCTGGACACCCGCATCATGCTAACATGGCTGTGGCCTGTGCAGGACCCCATCACTAAGTATGAGCTGCAGTACTGGGAAGCCGGGTCAGACAATAAGGTTAGAAAAACAACATGAAGCTTTAAATACTTCATGGCCTGGTTGTCTCTACTGCACACTACTGTATCTGTTTGTCTATAGATTGATCGATCTCTCTGTGTCATTTGTCTTGGCCTCATATTCTTCTCTGAGACTGGAGATGAATTAAACTTACTCTTTATGATACAGTTTCTCTGAAAGGAAGCCTTGACTGAAGCAGTGTTATTGTAGTACTGTAGTCAGCTCCCCAGCTGATGAGAAAGATTTACCGTATTAACAGACAGCACAGTTGTTCTGTTCCATCTCTTGGTTTTGTGGCCCTTCATTCAACTCTCCTCGACCACTGCACCAACTGTAAACAGGAGGATGGATTGTTGGCTTTCTAATTTGGCTGTATTCTCAGTTTTATGTGAATGTACTGTAGATAGACAAGAGTTTAAACTTTAGGATTTCATTTGAGCATCAATTTCTTCTGGTTAAAGCAAGGTCAAGACAAATAGACTTGACATGGCTGTTTTTGACTGTTAACTCGGTGGCATGTTTCTGTCTACTTCTTCCCCTTCCAGATTCATGTGACCTTCAACCCAGCAGGCTCCTATGCTGTAGAGGGTTTAAAGCCTGACACCTTGTACCGTTTCTCCCTGGCAGCCCGTTCTGAGATGGGGTTAGGTGTCTACACCCAGCCCATTGAGGCCCGCACCGCTCAGTCCAGTAATTCCACTGTTTATTTTCTCTTGCGTTGTCTCACTCATCTTCTTAATCTCTTTGGTATCGAATAATCATTTCATAGGGTAACATTCACCCATAGCTGGCTGAAGCAGTTTTAGGTCATTATTTTCATAGTAGGACAAAGCTGACTATCATAGAGCTTAAATCAGAGAGCATGGGCAACTTGAGTGTCAAGTCAATTTTAGCACAGCATAAAATGCTGACAGTGTAGCCATCGCAGTCAGCCTCACGCTCCCACCACCTCCCGTCTGTCACCAACACTAACCGCCCTGTCCATCTATCTGAGGGCAGGCCCTGTGTTCAGTGTCAAGGTACGTTTAATGTGTCTTTTTCCCACATTTGTGAGCTGTGCTGTTGTTTTTGCCGCTTTTCATTGTGTGGTTTTACAGTCCCAGCACTCAAAATGTCACTCTCTGCCAGTTGACTGCTGACTTTATTTGTGTCTGTGACGCCATGCTAGTGCCACTTCGCGCAGGGCGCTCATATGCAGTATGTCTTTGGCTTGCACACATTATTTACTGAACTGCATTTTATTAACAATAAAAGGTACATATGAATAAATGTGCCTCTAATTTGATATAAAGTTGTGAGTGTAGAAAGAAATACCTCACAGTGCAATTACTGGTGTCGGTACACATTGTGCTTTACTTAGCAACAGTGACTTTAATCCCCAAGCCAGTATTCTTAGACATTTTAAAATAACGACATTGTACTTGTACACATTTCTGTAAATGGACAACTAATCAAATGCATCAAAAGAAATTCCAAACTAATGTCCGATTGATAATAATGTTCCACATTCAAATTTATGGCTGTGGCAGTTACAAGATCAGAGGCAGTGCCGTTAGAATAGAAAAGACTGGACCGAGGGCTTGGATATCACTTTTTGAAACCTTCCCCCATAAGGACAAACAAAAATCAGTGAAGAGTTGACACCTCTGGCAAACCCAGAGTTAAATAACTGTTAGTTGTGATTACGAGTGGCGAACTGTCTGTGTCCTTGTGTGTCTCCTGTCTGTGTCTCCTGTCAGCAGGAGACAGAAGGACACAGAATTTGAGTTTCATGCAACAATATACTGGTGTGCATAAAATAAGCAGCAGTCTCTGGAAGGCAGTTTCAGTGTTTAGTATCATTTTATAGGGATTCAGAGCAATGAACACAAGTGAGCTGTATTCAAAGTCGCTGGTTGTTTATGTGGTCAAACACTTCCACTGAACTCAGGACTTAACAATACAAGTTTAAAAAAGTGTGAAAGTGTAAACGTTACTTACTGCTTCGCCTAAAATTGGGAAATTATAAAGTAACAGTGATTAAGAAATTAGATAAAGGAGCAATTCATAATTTTAAAGAAGATGTTAGAAAGCCAAAAATCAGAACACAAGTTGAAAAGTATTCACTTCAAAACAATTCTTCTATAGTAACACATGAATAAACTTCCCAAAATTCCCATCTATAACTCACACTCTTCACTTATCTGTATATATATACCTTAAATGTAAAGTATATAATCAATTAATTATATATTGGACTTTTACAATAGGAAGAAGGAGAGGCTGATTTATCTTTTTTATCTATAAATGTAACTCTATTTTATCATTTTTGTCTCTGAGGTGTATGCGTTTCGTGTGGTGTTCTCTCTTCCAATTCCAAATTTTTCATCAAGACCTCAATATGACAGTGCTTTGAAAATCAGCAGCATTGTTTTGATTCAGTCAGTCACAGTTTATTAATACACATGGTGCTGTCAGGTATTTGTAGTTTTCTGTCCAATCTGTTGTGGATCAGGGACCACCAGATGAGACCGCTGTTTTGCTCTAATGCTACAGCTCTAATGTTTAGAAAGGTGGAGTTTCATGTTCTGGTATTCGTTTATTGGATTCTCATATGAGCTCACTGTTCATTGCTCTGTTTATTTAAAAAAAAAAAAAATCATGGCCATGCACTGTAAGAATTTTTTTTCTTGGTTCATTTTATTCTATTTTGAAGAGCCCCATTTTGTAGAATAATTTTATGATTGAGTTAGATGCATGAATTATGTGAATGCTACTGAGTTAGTTTTCAGTGCTGTTATGTTCTCCATTTTAAATTTGTTCATAGGCTTTCTGTTTTTACCTCTGGACTTGAGAGTACATATATATTTTTTACTGCAGCTGGAAGTGTAGCTAGAGATTACCGACTCCATATAAACTCATTATACTGTATATGTTTGTATTTCTACTTACTCCATAGTGGAGTGTGCCAGAAGAGTTTATGATTATAAAACATAACAGGGTGAGACATGTCAACATTATGCTTAGACATTAAGTTAAATATCCACTTTGATTACCTGTTGGGACAATAGTTGTAAGACAAAAGCCATGTAGCTGCATCATTGCTGGCCCAGTTCTGGCCATTCAAATCAAAGGGCAAATGACAGAGCAGCATGTTGTGTAGTGAATCTGGAACATGTAGGAATTTGTCCCTTTTGATGAACATAATAATACTGCTTTCCGTGGCAGTAGCTTCAAACCAGATGCTGACATTGGCTTGAATGCTCCTACAGTAACAGATATTGATTATGACATAATAGCTTCATGTACAACATCAGTGACAGACTGGTGTATCTCAGCTGCACCTCTGACCATGCTCTGACAGCCACTGTAATGAAGGCCAGAGTTTCTGCGTCACCATGCCAATACCAGTCAGCACCGTCAAGCACTTATTCACACACTTGCACATTTATGGCTAGTTTATTGCTCCCTCTGCATACAGCAAGAGGCAGCAGACAGGGCAGCTAGGGCCAGACTATGTCTTTGTGAAAAGTTTTGGCAGATTTTATGTTCTTTCGACCCCACACTGTAGTTTCTTGGCCTCTCTGCATAAATGTAGTGCCAGGCACAGCTTCAAGAGCAACCTGATAATGTGTTTTACAGCCAATCTCTCAGTCCAGAGGCAGCATCCTGTTTAGTATGAAAGTGTTTTGTGTTCAGTGTAAAAATGAAAATATAATCTTCAAAGTTGCAGTATAATATTATTTAATTTATCACCAACACTATGTTTGCAAATGATTTAACTCAAAAATAAACTTTCTGGGCAAGGTAGAGAACATGTCGGCAACGCTTTAGTCAGTACACCCATGTACTGTTTTATGTTAAACCCAGCCTGGTTTATTTATAAGGATAATACAGAGACAAAACCTTGGAATTATACATAAGTACTATTTTTTTCAAGCTTAATTTGTAAAGTCTGTCTGTATATGAACTTTCATTAAAAAGCAGAGCAGTATAAAGTACAACTTAGAAAAATGTGCTCATTAGGGGAATTTCAGGAAATCAGAAAACGTCTATAGTTTATTCTTCGTTTACGTACATGTTGTAGGTAGGAAATTCAAAAACGTTACACTGACACTTTGAATATTACATTTTCATATTGACCACTGGACAAAAAACTTCTAGAGTTGTGCCTTATGTTTGCCTGTGCTTTAGTTTAGTTGTTTTTTTTTTTGTTTGCTTGTTTTGTTTTTGTTTTTTTTTTGCTTCGATTAGTTTTTTTGTTTTGTTTTGTTTTGTCTTTCTTGCTTGATCTGTGTCCATCCTTCGTGTGGTTTTGTTCCCTTCCCCCTGCAGCCCCATCTGCCCCCCCTCAGGAGGTACAGCTGGTCAGCCTGAGCTCCACTAGCCTCAAGGTGAGTTGGGTGGCACCGCCCGCTGCTAGCCGCCATGGTGCCATTGTGCGTTACACAGTCAGCTACCAAGCCCTAGCTGGAGAGGACACGGAGCGGCATGAGGTGCCAGGCATCGGCGCAGATGCCACCAGCTATGTGCTGGAGGGTCTGGAGAAGTGGACTGAGTATCAGGTGTGGGTGAGGGCACACACTGATGTGGGACCAGGCCCTGAGAGTGCCCCAGTGAGGATGAAAACCAAAGAGGATGGTAGGTTGACACCTTCCCTGAAGCGGTGTGCTCTCAGACTTGGCCTGTTTTACAACACTCTCTCGAGTTCCTACCACACTTTTCACTTTGTGCTGTTGATCAGTTATGGGTTAACAAAGTATTAGTGGTAGCAGAGGGGTCACCTTCTCTTTTTTCTTTTCCAGGCTTGTTCTTTAAGGCTGTAGCACTTTGCATCTATGGAGGTTAAGGGCTCCTCACCCAGAGGCCTCAGCTCTGCATCACTGTCCTCTGCTTTCACTGTTTAAATACCTTCTTGACATCTCTCTTCTGTTCTAAGAAAAAGAAGAGGAGCATTCTGTTGCTCTTCCCTCTTTTCTCACTTGTTCCTCGTTTTGTTTGCAATGTGATAAAGAGTAGCTGCTCCTAAGAGAGAGCCCTCTATAATTAATGTGTTTGAAGTTTGCTGCAACACAGTTAATTTCATACCAGAATTAAGGGCATTACAGACATCGCTAAACCACATGCTGTCCCACATAGGATTTTTTTGGGGACACAATATTTATAAGTGGTCTGAAATGAAATGAGATGATTTGGCCAGTTCTAGTATCACTACCTTCTAGAGAACACTCTAGTTTATACAAAAATAAAATCTCAAAAGTCATTCTTTTTTGGCTCCTCATCATAAAACAGTGATCTGAGGAAAATCACAAATTAAATATACTTTGACTTCTTTCGTCCTCGTCTCACTTTCTCCCACTTTCTCTCTTTCTTGCATTTTGCCCGCCCTCCCTCTCTCCCCCTTGTTTTCTGGTTTCCAGTGCCGGGTGCCCCCCCCAGGAAGCTGGAGGTTGAGGCCATAAACTCCACAGCCATCAGAGTCACCTGGAAGCCACCCCTGCAGGGGAAGCAGCACGGCCAAATCAGAGGATATCAAGTCATCTTCTCCCGGCTTGAAAACGGAGAACCTCGAGGCCAGCCCAACATTATGGATGTTGCGTTGCCAGAGGCACAGGTACTGGATGATGTCTTGTCCAGTCTTTGTCTATCTCCCTTTCACTGTCTATATCTGGTTTATGTTTATTTCCCATAATTTCCATTCTCCACTGCTCCTCTGTTCCCTTCCATTCTCTGTGTTCATACTTCATTTCCCCTATACCAAGTGACACACGTGGCGTTTTCATTCTGACGACTGTAGTAAACCCCCCCAAATCCTCTCTCACTCCCTCTTTTTTCATCTTGCTCCACATGTGACATTTGACTCTAAATTGGTACCCTGCTCCCACAGCTTTGGATTAGCTGTCATAACAGGATCCACTCTAATTCTACAGTATTAGCTATATCACCTATTTTTTATACATTGCATCAGGATGGGGCTTAGTGGAATCACTCCACCTCTCTTTTCGGTTTTAGCAGTAACACATACGCACTGCCATGTTACCATGTTTATAAATTAGAGTTATTTTCTCGACGCAACCCTTTACACTTTAATGGAGGCAGCTCTGAATTGCCTGAAGCTGTGCGACACCACAAGATGGATGAGAGATTGTAATCTTAAGAGGGATTCAGAGATTCATGAATATCTTAAAACCAGAAACCCCACTCTCCCTTTTTCCCTCTCTTTGGGAGAGAAGAGCCCAGCTTAATAGCCTCCTTATGATTGTTTGCCAGGAGTAACATTTGCGTGAACACGCTTTCACTTGCACCCTTGATGGCCTCCAACAAAAACATCTCATTTGAACAAGTAAGCGCTCCCTGGCTGCAGGAACACGACAGAAAATTCTGATCTGCCTCATGTGTTTCTGAGTAGCATTTGCTGCTAAATGCTTAGCAGCAGCATTTAGGGAGATCAGCAGGTTGCTGGTTCAGTTCCCCGGCAGTGTGCACTGCTGTGCCCTTGAGTGGAGCGACAGTATTAACCTCGATTTGCTTCGTCAAACACCCCACTGTCTTAAGTCTTATCATTACAGAAGAAAAGCATTGTCAAATTCATCTTGATGTCAAATGTGATACATGCCAATTGATGCTAAGTAGGAGTCCAGTTATGTAACAGGGCACTCAGTGATAAATGCATAATGAATCATATTTAGCGGTTGTCAACCCACCCAAGTGTCCTGTCGCACATGGGATTCTGTAGCAATTGTCATGCATAATATTAACATTAGGTTAATTTTGGCCTGACAGAGCCCAGAATAACTGTGTAGTAGAGGCAGATAGAGTATAACCTGGCAGTGTCTCTACACCTGGCCAAAAAGTCTGTTTTAAACTCCAAAACACAGTCCAGCACCTTTTTGTTTTTTCACAGCAGTAGTTTCTAGCTGCTGGTCCTGACAGTTCATTGTTATCCGACTGTGCACTAGAGTGCTTGACAGCCAGGACAGCATCGTTTGGTCTGGAAGAGGAGAAAAGCATGGTGGCTGCTTGTCTTCCTGAAAGTGTTTTCTTCATGTCAGCATGTTCAGCGTGACACCGTTTTGCGTTATGAAAACTGAACTGAAAATGTCCCTACTTGTTGTGCAAACAGTACTCAATGTCATGTCTCATTTGTGCCAGGTTCACACAATAGACAAGGCATACTGCAATTTGGCGCTTAGAGTAGCTCTCATGTTCCAGTTTGGTGTCCAGGATGTTCCTTAAACTCGTTCCCTCCTTGGCAGAAACCTGAGTTTCTCCTCCCTCCTCCTGTGTTGTTCCTTTTCTCCATCCTTCCCACTCCCTTCCCTTTTTCTCATGGCCTCATTTTGCACTCTTCCTGCCTGAGAAGTCGGTTGAGTAATTATCAAAAGCTTGCGTGCTTGCTTGCATGCATGGCTACGTTTGATTGAGTCATCTCAACGGATTGTTTATTATGAGACAGCGCTGCGTAGCCAACCTGCTAGGACCTGCCCAGACCACACAGTCAGCTGACACCATGTTTGTCGAACTGGTTTTAGAACAACTCCTCCTATTCTCACCCGTTCTCCATTCACCAATAACAAGTAGAAGAAAACAACACGGGTAACATGAGCAAACATGCTCACTGTTTAGATCAACCTTGTTGTAGACTTTCCAGCTCACAGAGAAAAAAAGTTCCTGAGTCATCTTAGACTCATGCACATACCTCAAACCTGTAATTGATGATGAATAAAAGCAACAAAAAAAAAATCTATTTTGGCGCATCCCATAGTGTTTCTTTCAAAAGTTTGCTTAATGTGTAATCAGCTCCATATCCCCCTTTCACCCGCATTGGATGCAACAGTAAGCCTGTCAGGAAGAAAAGAAAAATCCAGACTTTCCAGGGCCCTCACAACAAACCACAGCCTCACCTTCAACTTCAATCACAAACCTAAGCCAACTGATTGAATTGCACATTCTGTTGAAATCGCTATCACCTCCCCCCTTGTCTTTGTCTCTCTGTTTCTATTTCCTTCTCTCCTCTTCACCCTCTCTCAGGGTTATCTGAAATGCTGGGAGGAGAGCTAGGAGAGCTTTGCCTGTGCGTGGGCGGTATAAGCGCCTCTTTTCTTTTCAAGCAGGAGCCCACACAGCGCCCTCATTTCCCTGCTAAATTTAAACCAGAGACCATGTTAACAGTGTGATGTTATCGACCCCTTTCAACCATATTTCTATTGGAAAAGTGGTCTAAACCTGAGTGGGCAGCTCCACACCACATAGCCGGCTCCATTATTGTGCACTCACTGCAACCTCTAGGCTTGTGTTTTTTTTATATACGTACATATACGGTTTGTTAGAAAGTGGTGTGATTGAGTTTGGAGCCATTAGCCATTGTCTGTGCTTCTATAAATTTTCTGCACAAGTTTTCCTTCGTTCAGCACTACATTTCCAGGTTCATTTTGTTTGACCGCTCATGCGCTTTTGTGGTCTGTGTGTGCATTTGTGTGCACGAGGAGCAAGGCAATGCTTCACTGCCTCTACAGCCTTTACTGCCTCAGATTGGAGCTGAATGGGAATTGAAAAAAAAAGAGAAACGAAGCACCTCAGCCCGCTTCACTCCATCAATCATGACAGCTCCTTCTCTTCCACATCACTCGTTCCAGTTTTTATAGCCACACATCTCAGCCCATGTCATCACATTTGCCTCACCCGCCTGCAAATTATACTGCTCCGTTTCCACAAACGACACTTATCAGCAATGATGCGTTTTCAGCTTGCGTTGGCATTCGAAATATAAATGGGGGGATAATTTATAATTCTCCCATGGATTTACGAAGAAAGCAAAAGCAGTTGCTATAGAAAGGGATTAAGCCCAAAATGAGATAGGAACTCTTGTGAGCCTTAATGTGTTCGCTGCTCTGTTGACATACTGAGTGGAGTCGACGGTAAACAAATTAAGCAATTAGGCACATCACAAACTGTTATTCATGGAGTTAAATAGCAGCTGTTCTTAAATTGTACTTTTTAGTGCCCTGTTATATCAGAGGAGCATGAGGCAGCAGTTTTTGATGCGCCATGTGTCTCAACCAGTTGCAGCAGGGACCATACAGAGCCTGGTTCATGCTTCAGTTAGCTGGTTAGTGATAACGACCCATCCACAGGGAGGAGGGTGGAGAAGTTGGATCTTTTGTCTGTCCATATGCAAACAGTCAATGGAGGATGATGATGAAAACTGTCCAGTACACAGATAATCATCAATGTGTGAGGATTGCCCTTTTTGTCTTCAGAGCAAAACAACAGGCATCCCTGGCATGAGGTTATGTCTTAATAGGCATGAACTTGGTGTATAAATTTCATGTTCATAGGGGGTTAAATACAGCACACTATACTTGCAGTAATTGAATATACTCTAAAAATAAATGTAACATTCAATTAAATATATTAATAACAGATGTTAAGTCTGTGACAATATGTGGATGTTGGACTGATGATCCCTATTGTTTTTGCTGAATTGTCAGCTCTGCGTTATTGCTGCCTGAGCTAACTTTAGCCTCACAACTGAGAAGACATTGCTGCAGATATTTTTCATATCATGAGCAATATCAACAAAACTTCTGTCATATCCCTTGTGAGTGGCAACAGACAAATCAGAGAGGGTTATTTCTAAACCCAGGCAGAATCAGCACTCTCATTCCTACTGTGACCACTAGAGGTCAGCGAACAGTGGTTTTTGTTATTTGAGTGAACCAGTCCTTTACCAAAGAAATCTTGAAATTGCTTCCTTCACTTGCTGTAATCCCCTCATGCTTTAGCCTTATCGCTTCCTAGCCCTCTCCAGCTACTCTCCCCAGTGGTAGCCACTCCACTAACAGCTGTTAATCAAATAAAAATGTTTCCATTGGCAGCATCACCCACCGTTCTTCCTCATCCCACACCCAAACCTCCACCCCTTCTTTGATCTCCACTTCATCAGTGTCGCCTCTACTGCCCCTTGACAGCCAGGCCACCCATCAGTGAACTCCTCTGCAGGAACTCAAAGACAACTCTGAGATGGATCGAGTTGCTGGTAAACAGCAGGAGTTACGTTCTGCATCGATGGGGTTTGATGTCACTGGGCTAGCATAGCGGCACTGGTAATAGGATTTCATGCTCCGCACCAACAGTTCCCTGTGGCACAGAATGGGCTTTCTCTTCCCCCAGGAATCACTTGGCTAAACACAGTGAGCAAGGACAACATTTGAAAACATACTGAAATATAATTAATTAAAGCCTTTCCTTCATTTCTGTAAGGAAAGAGGAAATGCTCCAGAGATTCTGTATTTGCTCCACAGAGAGATAGTTATCTTACTGAATAGAGGCATGATTAAGGAAAAGAGAGGTTTTTATTAGATTCATAGGCAAATGAGAACAAGGCAGTGCATCATGAACAATAATGACTTTCACAACCGTTGCTCGGCTTGGTTACACAATTAGTTTTATGCCACTCAACATTTTTGTACACCCTCTCTTCCATCACAGTCTCTCCCTCTATGTTTCTTTCCACTGCATGGCTCTGTTGACACCTACATACATCTGTCTTTGAGCGAAAAAAAGACAAGTTCTTTTTTTCTTTGCCCATTGTGTTGTCTCTGACTCATTTCTCTCCCCGCCCTGTGTCCTGTGTCTTCTCTCCCATTAGTGGAATATTGAAGAGTCCACCGAGCATGTGAGTAACCCTCATGTGTGCTGCTGGGTTGTCTTGCAGGGCACGCTCTTCTTCTGTCTGCAGTTAAGGGGTGCTGTGTGCGCTTGTGTGTTTGGGTTATGAGTTGTGTGTCGGTGTGTGTGTTTATTTCTGTGTAAGCCATGCCTGTAATCCACTCGGTGTGAATCCTCATGAAAAGATCATAACCTCATCATAACCACAGCAAGGAATGTGTGTCCTAATGATTCCTGGTTTCTCTCTGTGTGTGTGTGTGTGTGTTTGTGTTATGTTCCCTTAAGAGCTACTACAACTGCAAAGTATGAGGATTATTACCACTGATGATTGTGTACAAGTCTAATATTTTAGCTTAAGACAAACTCGTAGCCACTGGGCACTCACTCAGAGCTGATGCTTTTACTGCAGCAAGTACGCAGTGCTGTCCATCATCACTGAGCACACAGTGCAGTCAAAGGCTGTGTGTCACTGTCCCAATGTGATGCTGACATTAATCAGGCTCACATAACCTGGTGTCTCCCCTACTACTCTAGATGACATGTCTGTCTGAGGGGAGGGACTTGTGTTTTCTTTTTTTTTTAACAGCACCACACATCTCCAAGATTGTCACCAGCCTTTCATGTACTTTTCATTTGCCTGTATGGCAGCTCGCTGTTCCATGGCTGTCACATTATCTCTTAGACGTCATATTGTACTAGCATAAATGCAAAGCCACTTACTGTTTCTAGTCTGAAATTCAGTGGGAACCTGCCAGAATAACAAATGCTGCTTTCAGCATTTGAACCAGGGTGAAGAAATTGTTTTAAAAATTGTTTATAGCATTTAAGAAAATGTACCAAAGAATTAACTTGAGCAGTTTACATTAGGTACCTGCGGTTACCTTTACAGTACCAGTGACCACCCATAAAGGTTGACAGATGCTCAGGGCTTTTTGTTCAGCTGTGTATGCATCAACACTGGATGCTTTTCTTTCTTTATTAATGAGCCAGTGGGATGTGTGCAAATCATTATGTTTATTTGATAACACTCCTTTTGAGGAGAAATCTGGTCACGCTGCACACATAGCCAGATTCCTTCGGATCCAACCACATGGCATGAGTCAGGCATGCCTCCTCTCACTCTCCTCTTAATGTGCTGATTAACACCTGACAGGCACAGAGCTGTCCAGAGGAAGACATCTGTTCACAGTAGCAATGTTTAGGCAATAGCAGCCTGTGTGCCAGGTAATTATTGGAGTGTGACTACCCATAGACAGACATCATCAGCTGAAATTTTGCAAGTCATATTGTGCCTTTTTAATGCAAAAAGCACATATAGAGAACATCAAATGTTTGAACAAATAAATAAATTAATAAATATAAATCTGCTGGTGAGGATGGGGGGAGACTTTAAAAGAAGAATCCATTTCTATAACTAGATAATCTCTATAATGCCCTTTGGTGCTGCTCTAAGCATTTGCTCTGAAGGAAACTTTGAAGCCTTGCCTTTTCTATTTTCTGCTGAGTTTCTTAAGCGTTACTAGCCCTTGAAAGAACGGGGTAAAAAAGATCTCTGTGCCTGCCACAGCTGAGACTGTTAGAGCCATTTTGTAAAATAATGAGACTTCCTCCATAAAGTTAAAATGGTTTTATGATACAGTAATTTAGCATCTCTTTCGTCTCTCTTAAAGGTGAGGTGTGGGAGCATCAAATGTTTCTTAAAGAGAGGGGCTGTAAAAAGTATTGTCAAACAGAGCTGGCCTATATAGATTGGTAAATGCTCTTCTATGGTTAAGAAATTAAAATGTCATTAGTTAGAGAAACAGAATTAGGGCAAAGCTGTATAATATTCAAAGAGTATGAGGAGTTTGGATAGAGTTCAGGCAGGAAAGCTTGTAAGCGTCAGCTTGTTTGTCCTTTCAGTGGCTCCTGTCAGAACCAGACAACTGCAGCATGTGTGCTCGAGCTGCAGGAATGTGTATCACTGTGTGCGTGCATATGGTGTGTTTGTGTACATGCATGCTTACTGTAGTGTGTGTTTATATACATTGTAAGGCCGTTCATTCACATATGTGTGTTTGTGTATTGTATGTCTGTTTGCATATGGGCTTAGTTCAAGCTCAGAAAGTGTTTAATTCCAGCGTGTGTGGGTGTGTTTTTATTCAGACTGATGTAGTCTGGTGAAGTGAGTACCAGCACTGCAGCAGGTTACCAATAACAGTGTGTTACCTCAGTTGTTTGCTGTTCTTCTATCTGTTTGTTCCTGACTTTTCAGTTCCTGATTTGTTCAACCACATTAGTGTGTCTGTGTTTTTGTGTGGAGACAGTTTGAACATTCAACCCAACCTATATGGAAATCCAATGGGCAATGAACTTCAGTATCTGACTTTATTATTTTAAAGTGTTTATCCTTCAGATAGTTTTAACAGCATGTCCCACAGTGAAGAGGACTGTTTGGTGGGCTTTTACAGACTGCAGTGTAGCACTGACCCAGAGCTCCTCTGGGTATAATCTCATGCTTATCCATGCAGCAGACATGAACACTGACACACTGGTGATGTTCTGGTTCATTTGGTTGGTTTGTTGGTTAATGGGCTCAGCGTGTGCCTTACGACTGGGCGCAGGAGTTTTTCTTGATTAAGAAAAGTTCCTGCTCCTGTTTTTGTGGCTTTAAAACTTCTTCCTGTTAAATGCTTTAAATTGTTTTTTCCTGTTATAGGGAAGTGATCAAGAATCTAGGAGTGGATGACAAAGGGGGTTTAGTCTTACTGTGCCTTCTTTTGGTGATGTGTTTTTTGTCAGGGGATAGGAGCTTGTGTGAGAAGGGTTTGTGTGTTTTTTTTTTTTTGTTTTTTTTTTTGGCCACAGAGGCGTTCTCGCTCAGGCTCACAGATTCCTTTTAAACTCTGACCTCATGATTTTTTCATTTTGCAGGAGGCCATTATTGGTGGACTGCAGTCAGAAACCACCTACTCTGTCACTGTAGCTGCATACACCACCAAGGGAGACGGAGCTCGTAGCAAAGCTAAAGTCATCACTACGACGGGAGCAGGTCAGAGTCAGTTTTATCAGGGTTATCATGCAAAACATAAGATATGTGCTATCTGTTTAGAGTGAATGCTGTGGTATTAAAACTGATAACCTCTGTCTTCTTCATTCAGGAGAGTATTGTGACTAGAACACTGTCTGGAATGTCATGTTAGTTTCAGTGAGATGCAACAGCTTTAACTCCTGAAAGAGTTATCACAACTAGCTGCTGCTGAAATGCTATAAAGCAAGCCATGTGACCTTCACATGCTTTATTTAAGCTCTCCGATGACAGTTGTTTTGTTGACAGTTATCTCCGTAACAGAGAAGTGTGACATTTTCTGATCTATACCACTCTCGTATGTGTGTTATTTAGTGCGCTTTAGGGGGTGCCTGTCGGTGGATTTTGTCTGATAGATCCAGACTAGCAAATTTCACCCTGTTTCCTTGTGCTAAACTAAGCTAACCATCTATATTTAACTGACAGTTATAAGTATCAATTTTCTCTTCTAAACGATTGCCAGAAAGTGAAAGGGCATATTTTCCAAAATCTTGAACTTCATTCTTTAACCTTTAAATGTTAAGGTTGCTTAAAATAGTTCTTCTGTGTTTAGAGGAGTCACAACGCAGCTTATTTATTTTCTCTCCACTTCAATCTCTTTTTTTAGTGCCAGGCAAACCCACTATGATGATCAGCACCACCATGGGCAACACAGCATTGATCCAGTGGCAGCCACCTAAGGAGATGGTGGGTGAGCTAATGGGCTACCAGCTGCAGTACAAGCGCACTGATGAAGAAACCTATACCTCACGTGAACTCAGAAAGACCGACGACCACTACACTGTCACTGAGCTGCACAAAGGTGCCACTTATGTCTTCCGCCTCAGTGCCCGTAATCGTGCAGGCATTGGCGAGGCCTACGTAAAGGAGATCAGCACCCCAGAAGACGTGCCCTCAGGTTTCCCGATCAACCTGCAAGTAACAGGACTGACCCAGTCCAGCACTCAGTTGGCCTGGGAGCCCCCGCTGCCGGCAGAAAGGAACGGCAAAATCATATACTATGTGGTGGTCTACAGGGATATTAACAGTCAGCAGAACAGCACCAACCGCACGGCCGATACACACATAACTATCCAGGGCCTTAATCCTGACACTACTTATGACATCCGGGTGCAGGCGTTTACCAGCAAGGGCGGGGGACCCCTCAGCCCCAGCATTCAGAGCAGGACCATGCCGAATGGTAGGACAACTGGTAGGACACATGGCTCAGCCTTGCCCACAACATATTTTAGCATATGCATCTATCACCTGCTTTATGTTCTCAACACTGTAACTGGCTCGTTTCTTCTTTATCAATGCCACGTCTTTTTCATCTACCACTCAGAACTGTACAGCTCTGTGTTTATTGATTTATAGAGTGCAAATCTCATTACACGCTGCAGTCACATACCCTGCCTCCTCATCCTCCCTCTCATTGCACACAAACCTGAAGCGTGCACAGCATGTACCTCCTCATGCATTTTACAATCTCATAAATGTAAGATTTCTTTTTTATCACCAGTTGTGTGTGATGCCTATTTTAAGATACATGTTGTCATATACATTTCTAGGTAATCACAGAGATATTGGCCTGTGGCACATGTCTTGTTTTGAACATAGTGTAATTAATAATACAGACCTAGATCAAGGCTATTTTTATATGAGCTGTAACTAAGCATGAATGAGATTGCTGATGTTCACATTCCATGGCTTGTCGGGTTTGGTCAGAAGGTATCAACCACGGAAGATGTTCATGATGTTCACTGAGGCGGTTACCTGCTGTACACTGGTGTGAAATTTAATTATGCCCAGAGATTATATTTTATGGTGTGCAAGAAGTCTTACCTGAGATATTAATCAAAGAATTTTCCTACCCTAGATTTTCCCACCCTAAACTTTGGTGTCAAAGCTGTCATGAAAACATCTGTCCTTCTCACCTGGGATTTGCCTCCAAACTACAAATCCCAAGCACCTTTTAAGGTGAGTGCCAGCCAGAAGTACAGATACCAAAATGTCACCTGGAACACAGTTAACTTCAAACTATAATTTTTTGCTGTTTCATAAACTATCATATTTTATAATACTGCTACACATTACACTGACTACTGATTGCAATAAAGCATTGTTCTTCAACCACCAGAAAGTGTTACTTCAACACAATATATAACATGCACTATGCATATATTTGTACATGCTGTAACAGTATATGACATGATTTTGTCATCACACTACACTATTAACTATTAACACTTTCACCAAGGTGTGATGCAGTGACTTTCCCTATTTGCACTGAAAATTTTGAAAAAAACACTTTGATGTTCATTTACAGTATGAGGTGCAATAATCTGTCAAATCTGTCAAAATGATATTTTTTCAGCTCCCACCCTGTGGTAATGGAGCAAAGATCATTTTAAGTGTAAAAAACTATTAAATCTGCACCAATGGGCAAGTGTGACACTGAAGTGCATATGATGAGTTGTCAGATAAGACGGGTCTCCCTTAGGACTATACTGCTTTTGTGTGTGTGTGTGTGTGTGTGTGTGTGTGTGTGCGTGTGTGTGTTTGTTGGGGGGCATCGTCTAATATATTGTACATGCTGTGTACATATTCTAGCTTAAACCATAACTTCACGGTTTCTCATGTGGTCACAGATCTTGTACAACCAGCAAAGTGTAGAAGTGCAGGGAAACCTGAAGAGGAAGCTGATCACACAGCTGCAGCCAGACACGGACTACTCTTTCGTACTGACAAGCAGGGGCAACATTGCTGGAGGTCTACAGCAGCAGGTGTCCATCCGTACTGCCCCCGACCTGATCCAAACCAAGCCCAGCACACAGCAGGTTCAGGATGGCAAAATGACCATCAAACTTCCCAAGGTCCACACAACAGCACGTGTCAGGTCAGTACTGAGACACATGGGGCCAAACATGCAGGCTTGCTCTGTGCAAAAATCCACCAATAGATGAAGACTGTTGTTAGTCACTAGACTAAGCTTTGCTAATTAGCATAAGGCATAATGTACCTTCATCTGTATTCTTGGCTGCTGCAATGACTAAGCTTTCCTTCGGGGCTCAGTGAAGCCTTTTCAGGCTTCCTGTGGAAAATCTTAAGAGATACTTATATATTATCACCACATATTACTGAAAGTGTTGTTTCTCAAAAGCCACATTATGTTACTGCGAATATGGGCACATTTAACTTGGGCAGCACCGTTCTTACATGCTTTTGTGAAAATCAGCTGAACAATAATCAACCTACAGTTACATCACTGAATCTTGGACAGTTAAAAAGTATGTTTACAATTTAACTTCATGGAAAGTTCAAAGTTAGAATCATGACAGAAATTAAAATTGTAAATAAATAAAGACAAGAAATGAACAAAGGAATTTGCATTTAAATTTTGTGCATTTTGGAGCTCATTTGTGCCCTGAGCCTCTAAGCAGCCACCTAGTTGCTGCCAAAAAAAAAGTATAATTCAGAAGCAAATTCACAAAACTGGGCACCCTTTTAATGGCACCCAGTAGCTCAAGTGGCACACTTGTATCTGATCAATACTAAATGTATTTTGAAAGTTGAAACTGCAATTTTAGGTCTCAGCCAACTTTATGACACCATAGCTGATGATAATCATGACTTTTAACATCACAGAAGGCTGTATTGTCTTTTGACTCTAACTGTTAAGAGCAGAAATATGTCTGACCCTGATGAGTAAAGTCTTTCCGTCAGATACACGCACACACATACGGACACTGAGTAGGGGGAGTGCATAGGGTTGATTGGTAAAAAGATTACAGGGCTGTCAGAGCTGGCCAAGCTCCAGCACAGATTGACAGGCAAAGAGCACAGGTGATTGGGGATATGAGAGTGGAGGTGCGGGTGGGGGTTAGGGGAGTTGAGGAGTCTTGTTATACATGTCTTCTCACACTCCCAGACTTGACTGACTGTTAAATCACAGGGTCGAGGCCTGGAAAGAAGGTGAGAGATGCAGCTGCTTTCACTGTCAGCAGCAGCTGATTCTACCCGAATGCTGCAGTGGGGGGAAACTTTGAGCAGAGAGAAGACGTAAATAAACACAGACCCAGATGTTTGTACATTGTGTACTCACAAACATGCTTCTCCATTCATTATTTGTTTTCTTACTATGACCCTAAACTCTTAAATGTCTTTCTAATGTCTTTATTTTCCTTCTATTTTTGGTCTTTATAATGGTAGCAGTAAAACGACACACGCCCGAGTAGTCACATAGCAGGTCCTATTAACCTAAGAAATCCTATGGGGATCTCTATTAGCTGAAGACTTCTCTCACTGGAATAGTGTTTGTTCCAGTCTAGATGGCAGATGTTGTTAGTGATTAGCCATTAAGTGGAGAATGCCGTGCCAATCTGCTGGTGTTCGACCTTGGTTAGACCCATTTGTGTAGCACTCAAGTTTTGGATTCTGCCCAGCAAACCTCATTGTCAAAGTATGTCTTTCTAAATGTTTTGACTGCCTTATTAATGCACTCGGCCCACTTTGATCTTAATATGTACGTGCTCCAGTGAAGTCTGTCTCACCACAGGCTGTATTTTTCTTGGCAGGTGGTACTACATTGTAGTGGTGCCGGGATCCCAGTTGACGCGACGGTGGAAGAGTCCAGACGAGATGGACCTGGATGAGGTGAGCGCCAGCTGGTGGCTGACTGGCTAATGCAGCAGGTGAAGGGTTACAGATAGCATGTCCTGCTCCAACTGGGTAGGAAGTTACTGGTTGTAGCTAATTAGCTCTTCCCTCCTGGGCTCAGGCAGGAGGGGGTGGCAAGGCAGAGAGATTTTAAACAATGACTCACTCGAGCAGGTGGGGAGTGCCTGATTAGACGCCAGCTCTGCAGACAGTACCCATC